TGGTGTTTGCAAGAGAGGATTTTTACTGAAATCTGTGGAGTCTGGGTCAGACCTCAAATCCCAGATTTTCCTTAAATTTTAAGATTAAGCATGTGCTTATGAGCTTAGTTTTAACGGAGGTGTATTAACTAGTTTAAGACCTGGAAAGGTCTCATACGGGAAGGCGTCCATGTGTGGAAGGGAAACCTGAATTAGTGAGATCCCAAGAATGCAACATGAAAATGGGCACTACTGGATTTTTCTGTGGTTTGAGTATTTTGGGTGCGTGCTCCATCACAACCCGTCTCACCTTAATCCAACTGTTAATGCTCTTTCCGCCGTGTTATAAGAGACTGGCCTATTTTTGTTACAGTTTTGATAGTTTGCAACGCACAGTGTGGTATAAAATACAGCTATTTTAGGAAGCAGAACTGTGGAATGAGTCTCTCCCCTGGTCTTCTGGGGCAGTTTGCCTGCAAGCCTCTCTGTCTGACCTCAAATGTCACGTTTCAAAGCCCTGCTTCATTATCATGGCGCCTGCTAGCTGTAGTTAAGGGTCTGTTAGCAGCCCCGTTGTAAATCCCTACTTCCATGAGTTTATAATTCAGCAGTAAAAAATCGCTCTAGGCTGAAACTTGGCATGTAAAGTCTGAGTGCAGGAACAATTGTGATTTTTTTTTCCTCCTTTATTTTTCTATTTGCTTGTACACACACAATTCATTCAGTAGGTTTTTACTGTCCCCTCTTGGCATTTCAAAAGATTAAATGGCCGAGTTATTAATATTTCAATACTGACTACTGTGCTTGGCCAGTAGATTAAGAGTGTCTGTTAACCCAGCTCTGTTTGATGGATACAAGTCACTGCTTCACAAATCCGCTGCAAGGCTTCACTTTAGTGTAGACAGCTCAGCGTGGGTCACAGCGATGGCTTTTTTTTGTTAGTTAAAGTGGGCTTCAGAGCCAGCCATGTCCCAGTCTGGAGAGCTGGTGCGAGGGCACCGAGCGTGGTGGCCTGATGCAGCACGGGTGGAAGCTACGTGTGGCTGCAGGCAAAACTAAAGTGGCGTGGCCCCTGCTCAGATACAGAGGAACATTAAAGAGCCTGAACTGCTGCCTGTCCTCAGCGTGACTCCATCTTATCGCTTGATCATGTACATAGACGTCGCTGTGAGACCTTCTGATGGGACATCCAACGCTAGGAGGAGACTTGGTTGAAATTCTCCCGGCTCAACTGTTTCCTCATTGAAACTATGGTTCAGTTAAATCAGTCATTTCCTCATATTCTTTCTGGTTTATGGGAAGTTTTAGTATGGGAAAAGTTATTCAGATTTATTACTCCTAGAAATTACAGAAAAATTACTTGTTTTGGCCTTATGGAAAACATTATAGTAGCTTATATTTTTCTTCAATTTTAGAATGTCTTTATAGGATATATAACGTTTGTACTGCAGAGTCTTACAACTAAATGAGGGGTAACAGAAACTTTTAAATATATGATGTAGAATGCAAAGGTTAAAAATGATACTTTTACAAGAATGAAATGTTATGGTTTAAGTGAAATATTTTTTCCTTCAAGAACTGATTTTTAGACATTTTGTTTTGATCTAGGATTTGATCACAGTTAATAGTATTTCCTGCAAATCTTCAAAAAAGCTTGCTGTGCACTCTATTTTTTTATACTTGGTCCGGTGCACAGGTGTTTGCAAAATCAGGATCAAAGTGTATATTCCCAGTAACAACAAGGTTCACTATGTATTCTTTCATGCATTTTCTTTTCGATAAGTCAGGAATAATTTTTAATTATCTATTTATTTGCTTAGCATGGCGCACATATTAAAGACGCTCAACAGCTGGTTCTGGTGGGAGAATATCTGGATGCCTGTCAATGTCACGTGGGCACATTTCGTAGACCGTGATGGACTTGTCTTTCCAAAACCACATCAATTATATGCCACAATACCATATGCTTTTGTTCTGCTGATTATCCGATTCCTCAGTGAAAGGTAAGAAACATAAACGCAATTTTATGCTAACGTTAATCCTCATTAATGCTAAAAATTTTTGGAAAATAAGGTATCTTTAGATCAATGTTGTCTTAAAAAGGAGGATTAGTTGGTGGTTTCCTAGAAAGATCTAGTAGAGATAGCACGGCAGGTGAAAAACTGGGAAATATTTTCACTGTTAGGAACATGTGGCTGTGGTCCAATCTGGAAGGAAAATACTTCTGTCTAGCTTTTCTAGAACAGCATCTGGATAATTCTAATTATCTCTTTTCGCTAGAGATACAATTCATACAAAACCATTTGAGTTTCCTTTTGCTTTTTCTCCTTTGGTGGAAGGGTAGAGGTATTTGTCCTCTAAACCAAACCTCTCCTTTCGTTTGGACCTCCCCCAGAACATCTGTGTGAGGCTGATAGATGCCAGGTGTCTAGCTGTGGCAAAACTAGGCAGACTGGAGGGATCTCAAAGTTTCATGTGAACATTTTATGCAGATCTAGTAATGCTGATTCCTTTTTTTTCCTCACTTTGGCGCTGAAAGATGGATTGCTTCTGCAGCTGGAATCTTCTGGGACAGGCAGAGGTTGGCTCCACAGAAGAAAGCTACAAAGATATTAAGATTTGCAGTGCTTTGACTTATTTATTTGTGCCTTTTTTTGCTTCACTTTATTTTTTTTCTCTAAAGAATGTGATTAGTAGACTTTTATAATTATTTCAGGATAGAATGAGGAAATTTGGAATGTTGTAAGTTGGACAAACTTAAAACAGAACCAGATAAGATCATTCATGTTAGAGATCAAAAGTAATTTGGATCATATGTTTATAACCATTTACAGTGTCTCCTGAGTAAATGCTTGCCCAACCATGTCTCACTGTGCTGCTATTGGAAATCGCTCGTGTGAGTAATTAGCCCACACATCTGGCCCGCAGTGGATCTGCCCATGAATGAGGAAAACTGACCGCTGCTCTGACTAACAAGGAATCAATTGCTGATATCAGCAGAGCTTGTTCAGAAAACCCTGCCCAAGTAGGAGAGCGAAGTATTTGCCATGTCTGCAGCAATTTGTGTTGGAAAATGGAAGAGAAAGAAGCCTTCAGTCTCGAGGAGCTGCTGTGTGCCACAAGCTAAAGGCCACAAGTCGAATCCAGTGTCTTGGGCAGTGGTAGCCCGGTGAAGCAATGTGCTAAGTGACTATCTGCCACCAAGAGAAAGTATCCCAGTAGCAGTCTTTCAGCTCGCATGGAGAGAGCATCTGTTCTTGTTTCACTCTCCCTTAACTGTTGCTTAACTCCAATATGCCTCTGAAAAACACAAGGACACAAAAATAAGGATCTTTCCCTTGGTTTTATGGATTTCACAACCACAAACTAGAGTCCTTGGGTCTGTGTTTTTGTATAACTGCTAATATGCTATGATTCCCTCTTGGGATTAGCTGGAGGGAGATTCCTTTCTCTTACAGTGCACTGTCATATCCTATGGCAGATTAAATTGCTTCAGATTTATTTTCTTCATATCCTGACATGAGAATAGCTAAGGTCTTGTAACTGTGTTGTATTTTTAAAGTATTTTTCATGGTGTGTCTTTTCAGATATGTTGCTATACCTCTAGCAAAAGCCTTGGGTATAAAGAATGCAAGACGTGTGAAGCCACAGCCTAATCCTGTTTTAGAGAGTTATTTCCGGGAGTGCTCAAGACATCCATCCCAAGTAAGAGTTCTCATTCTTTTAAGCTAGTTCTGGTTTTGGAAAATCCCAAGTCTTACTGTTTCAATCAGCTATCAGTGATGACATCATGGAATGAGTTCCAGCTGATTGACAGATGACTTAATTTATTTGGGTTTTTGTTGCTGTTCTGCTGACAAGAGTATATGGCATCCAAAACAGAAAATATGTTTAAGATGTTTAATTTTCTGGCATGCTGTTCTAGGTTAGACTGTTAATATTTCCACTGAAGATCAGTGTTCCATCTTTAACTCATTCTGCCTGGAGAAAGCATCAGCTGACATCTGTTGTTGGAAAGTGGTATCATATTTATTGCAAGCAATAATATTGGAACGCTAGCATGGAAGCCTTTTGATCCGTTATATTGCTTCATACTTAATCCTGGCTTATGTGAGAAAGAAAAGCAATCTTTCTATTACCTTGCTGTTTGTTTTTTAAATTGAACAAGAGAAAATAATAGCCAATGTTCACCATCTCAAAAAATGAGGCAACTTGCTTGTTGATGGGAAACAGATACTTTGCTGTGAATGCAGCCTCAGAAAGTTCACTTACCAACTACAGTTACCAAACAATTGCAGTGTTCCTACACTGTTTTTGAAAAGAAATATGTGCTTTCTAGTAATGAGGGACATTGATAATTATTGATGTGTGGAACTTTGCTTTCTATCCCTAACTCTGCTATTCTCTTACTGTGTGTTTTGCCCGATATCATCAGGAATAGATGTATTCGTGTTCACATATGAGCTCTTCTCTCTCTGGGCAAGTATCCCGATCTCTCTGTTTAATACTTTCCTTCTGCACGAGTATAGTTTGATGATTAATCTCTGAAAAGAAGCACAGCATTTTAATGCTCGTCAGTACACGGGAAAGATTCAGGCCGCCTCATTTAGGTGTCCAGCTTGGGGACCAGTGTGCCTGAGAAAGCATGCAGAGGCCCAGCTGGCGATGGAGGGCATTTAGGCTCTGTTGTCCGTCAAAACGCAGCTGGTAGTCCTGCATGGCAAGTAGAGAACCCTCCAGCCAGCAGGATGGGCTGAACACAGAGGCTGTTTGCACTCCTGCCCTCCCCAGCAGCCAAGGTGCCTTTGCTCACATACCAGAGCTTTCTCTGAGGGTAGGAGACTAACTGAACTGGACTTGCCTTGGTGGAGGCAGCACGGCTGCCACCCACTATTTGCATACCAGCCTTGCGGGGAAAGAGCTTCCCCAGCCATGAGTCCAGTGCTACCTCCTCTCCTGCAGCGGCCCCAGGGGAGGTCAGCCCACACCTTCTGTGCTTCAGGATGGAGGAGAGCAAGGAAGCCTGCCTGGATTTATTTTTAGGTGTCAAAAAGAAGCAGTCTGGATTTTGGTCAGTAAGGTTAACTGGTTTGCCCTGTACCACAGAAGTACGTTGGATTTGAGAACAGAGCTCAGGTCACCTTAATTCCAGGTCTGCAACTCACCTACAAGAGTCATTTAAACATAATCTAATAATTAATTATAATTAGGTAGGATATTAGATACAGTGGCCATGTGTGTGTTGATGCATGGCACTTCTCCCTCAAGCCCAACCCCTTGCTTAGCACTAGAAGTTGCACCTTTGAAACTATCAGAAGCCACTGGAAAGACAATAGCACAGTTTGTGGATCTATACTTGTTTTATTTATATAAATCAGTTTCTCAAAAATCCAGGGTTTCTGTGAGCGTACCTCAAAAATTAAACCAGGAAGCCTGCAAGGTAAACCCACATAGTTAATGTTAGTAATATTTTTAAAAGAAGACCTTACAGCAGTGAGAAGCTGATCTGTGAACTACAAAATAAATGAAAATGACATTGGAGTACATCTTGTAGCTAACACTATTCCATTTTTTGCAGTCGGAGATCCAAGGCCTTGCCAAAAAGTGCAACTGTACTGTCCATTTGGTGGAAAAGTGGTTTAGGAGACGGCGAAACCTTGAGATCCCAACAGTGCTTCGGAAATTCCAGGAAGCTTTGTAAGAAAAGACAATGCTTTTGATTATTTTGGGCTTTACTGCTTTGAAAAAAGTGCTGGAGGTCCATAGTTGCCTTTTTCAGGGGAACTCGGTTCCAGAAAGCCGAGTCTGTCCGATGAGGGTTTTGGTTTGTGCATACTCAAACAAATTGAAAGGATCTAGTAGCATTTCTCTAAATGATGTGACTTTACGAGATTAGGCTAACAGTGTTTCCCGAAAAAACCCTCAAAAATGTTTTACAGTTTTTTTCATTGTGTAGTAATGGACTTATTTGTAGGTTCCTGCTACATAATGCTTAACGAAAACATGCAGAGAATAGGAAAATATTTTCCTTTCTGCTAGTAATCATGGGGGAACAAAGCTGCTTACTCACTGTTGTTTATGTATGTGCCCATGCTGTCGTTCTGGGATGCTGTTACGTGCACAGAAGTCAGTTTAAGAGCAGGAATCATGGCATCCTAACTCAGTGATAGGTGTCACAGCTCAAGCATAGGGTGCTGTGCAAAACGTGAGCTCAAATACACTGGCGAGGTGGGCCACTGAGCAATTCTGAGTGATTATAATGAATATGTGAAGTTTCAAAATCTCCTGCATGTGATTGAAACTGGAGAAGCATTCAAGAGTCTGATTTTTCACAAACGTGTGAGAAATTCCTCGTACCTAAACATTTTGCTATTTAACTGTCCCAGTGTTATCCAACATCTCATACAAATTGCAAATCCCCAAACGGACATGGCTTTACTTACATAGCTCATTTCTTTTGGATACTGAAATCAACTGTACCAGTGTAAACCACTTTGGTAATGTCCTGTGTGTCTGGATTTCGACGAGCATAGTTACATTGGCAAAAATTCTCACCATTATAATATTTAACTTCTAGTGCAGATTCGCTTAAGGAATGAAGGTTAAAAGTACAGCTACAAAGCCCAAAGTTGAGTACTCTATCAAGACTATTTTCAGTGTGAATCAACATGATAATGATTTGATGATGTGCTCTGGGCATAAATCCAGTTGATAGACATAGACGTGTTTCTCCGAAGCCTGATGGAGTTAAGTAAACTCTCCTGGCAAACCGACATTGACGGTTTACTTCTGGCATTGCTTAGTGGATCACTTTGTTTTACAAGTGCCACTACGATTTCCTGCTGTTGATAAAAGACCCACCTGCCATGGATGCCTGTCTCTAGTAATACACGGCCAAAGACTGACGTTAAAACTTGCTTGGCAGCTTAAGTGAGAATGAAGCAAACAAGTTTCTCTTTTGCAATTTTTTTGAACCTTGCTTTGCTCTTTGTCAGTGAATTTAATGGATGTAATTCTCAAGGCAACAAATGAGGAGCAGAGTAATTCCATGCTAGTAGTCAGTGTTATGAGCATTATGAAATTTTTGAAAGCCTGCAATCTCCAGAATCATTTTTCTGAATCATAAGGAAAATCTGATGAGCCAGATCTAAACCATACTTAAGCCATTAGTGCTCCCAGTTAAGCAACACTGGGGTTTGGAAAGCCTTTTGCATGAAATTTTCCCTGCCTTAAAAGACTTACCAGCCTTTAACTTCTCCTACTAAATTCTTTTTTGTTAGACTCAGTTCAAGAGAAAAGATTCCTGAAGTTAAATCACAAAACCCTTTTGCATAGCTGCTGTTCGGTGCCCTCCCTGGTGGCCAGGTTCAGAGCTTAAAGGGCACTTGGGTGAAATTTGGTGAATTTGGATGAGTTTTACTTTAGGTTTTGTTCACCAGATTCATAAAGAAGCTTGGCCAAATGCAAAATGAGGTAGTGCTCTGGCAATCTTGCACGTACACCGAGTTACTCTGACGCACTGAGTGCTTATTGCCAAGGGCAGTCGGTCTGTGCTTGTAGGGCTGGCGACGAATGGCACGGTCATGCTCTGTGCTTTGGCTCTGATTCAGAAAACCGCTTACGCTTTACAATCAACGCAGAATCAGGCCCACTATAGCCACCAACTACTCACACCTCTTTTGCTTTGAGGTAGGAGGCTTGAGGGCAGAATCAGCCCCTGTGTAAAGTCTGTCCCGGGCCATGGTGGTGTTTTTCCTAGCATCTCTTGGTTGACTGAGCCAGGTATTACTTGTGGCTCCTGCTCTCCCCTTACATTTGCTCTCCTAAATTTTACCATTACTTTCGAATTTTTCTGTCTGCACAGTGGGTGTTCTGAAGTGTTGTTTTCGAATCACCGGCTTCAAAGTTGAAAAGTAAAACACTTGTTTATTACCAGTGTATCAAGTGGCATTTTAATAGTTGTTTTCTTGACTGCTTCTGCAGGTGTGAGACATAGTACCTTGTCTAGCCATTCATTCCATGTCCTCATCTTTTGGTTTTTGTTGTGTGTTTTTTTTTTTTTTCTTGTAAAATGCTGGCTTAGTCTTTGAACATGTCATTTGTTTCACCTGGGATATCAGCTTCTGGGTAACATAGGACTTGGAAAGGAGAGGCTGCTCCTTGGACAGGTTCTCCTCATCTTCTCTCATATGGCCCTTCATTAATGTTTGCCAAAGACCACAATCTCATTTTTGTACATCTCTCAGTCCTTAGTACGGTGTTCATCTCAAGGTGCTCTCTCCTCATTTTTAGCAAACTTAGATTTTCTGGGAGGCTATTTGCTGCTCTCCTCCGGGGTTGTTCTTGTTCTATGCAATGCTCTCACCAGGTTTGAGGCCACATGCGTGTCTCTGTGATCACGACCTTTCTTAGCATGAGAAATCCCACAGTGTTTTCCTACTGATCTTGAAGAGCTGCTCTGGGAAAGGTCAAGCTTGTTCCTGCCAAGGAGAAGAGTGGAAAGGAAGAAGTTTTCCATCACCTGTGGAGGTGGGAGTGGGAAAGCTCTGGCTGAGTCTCCAGCCACACCCAGTCCCAGGGACAATACCTCCCACACAGACTCCAGAGTCATTACAACGCTGATTGCTGGCTCCAAATCACAGCATCCTGCTCTGACATATATTAAGCAACAACATAGTTTCGGTTCGCTAAGATACGCAAGAACTTTTTCCCCTCTGCTGACTTACCAGATGGGTGGTGAAAACCTGAAAGTTTTATCTACCTTGATGGGTATCTCAGTGAGCTTAGATCAGGCTAAATGCTAGAAAACCTAGTCGAAGATTGAGGCTTATTGTTAATTCAGACCTCTGTAGTAAGGCGTAAACTAATCCAGTAGTAGTTGGTAAAATTTTTGTAGGGCTCCCCTGTTTTCAACAGTGGTGTTAAGAGATCAAAAGAAATTAACCCAGCAATTGCAACAAGTCACTGTTGGTGCTCACAGCGTTCCCAGTGTTTGATCAGATTGGAAAGTATGTGCCGTGTGGCTGAAAGGCTTTCTGGAGTGAGGGAGCCATGAGGTGGTCTTAGTCTACCTTGATACAATGGGAAAGGTTGAGGTTATGAAACGTCAATTTTTAGGGAGTTTATTACATTTGCTGTGACCGTTCTCTTCACCAGCTCATGCCTGGCTGGAAAATTACTGCTGTAATCACAATCAAGGTACCTGTATTGTGATACTGTGAAGTAATTTACTACTTTAGCAATTAGTCAAAGCTTAAATAATTAAATATTAATAATTCAGCTATAGTTAATATGTGACAACCCTGAATGTAGAGTGTGAGGGCACGTTTATACGAAGATTGCCTGTGATATGCAATGATTTGCAGTAATTCTGGCTCAGGACAATAGAAAAATAAAATGCTTTGTTCTTTTTTTCATTTTAATTTTGCAGCTGGCGATTTTCATTCTATCTTACATCCTCCATTGCTGGATTTATATTTCTGTATGATGTAAGTTAATTTTTTGAAGGCTTGATATTCTTCTATTTTCAACAAAATACGGACTGATTTCTACATCTTCCTGAAGCTCATTGAAAGACTTGCTGGTTTCAATGGCTCTTTGGATTTCGGTCTTTGATGTGTGTAATCTAGCTGATAGGCTGCAATACGCATTGAGGCTTTACTTAACTTTTAAACTTTATCTTTTGAACTTCTGTGATTAAGTAATTTATGAGTAATCAGTATTTTTAAGGCAAGTTTTAAGAAGTCACACAGATGGTTTTACAACATGCCTTGTTAACACCTATGAATGCATCACACGGCCATGTTTTTCTCAAAGGAGGCCATAAACCTTTTCTGGCAGCACTTTTGGGGGTCACAACAATGGTGTATTTCATGGCTGTTTATTGAGGTGTTGCTGCTGAGTCAGAAATTGGGAATAACAGAGAGCGTGCTGCTTGTAACTATGTGAGCGCTGCCTGGGGTGTTGTTAATGCTTCTCCTGAGCAGCAGAACAGTTCTCGGCGTGTCTGCATTCATCTGGCTCTTCTCCCCAAACACTCTTTATCATCGTGAACCAGTGGTGCGTGTGGCTGGTAAACACAGCAAAATCTGATCGCTGTGGCAACATATCTTGTGTAATTGCAGTCATAAAACACACGCCCACTGCTTCGGATGATGAAATGGTGAACTGGAACGTTTCAGGTGTCCTGAACAGAAGCCAAAAGGCCGGGACCAATGTCATAAATCTGAGATGTAAAATCCCTTTATAAATTGATGGAGAACAGTTATCAAGACTATAGCTGCTTAGCCTGCTCCACTTAGAGAAATTTTATGTATTGAAGACTTTGAGTTAAGACAAATTGTTGTTGCTCAGCTGATGAGTCTCTGAATCATCTGTCTTCCCCAGAAACCTTGGTTTTATGACATATGGCAGACGTGGGTTGGCTATCCGTTTCAGGTGAGCTTTCTGGCACTGGGCCTTCGGCCTCGAGGCATTCCAGGTATTTCCCTGTTGGAAGGGGTCAGAAGCGCTTCTCCCTCCCAAAGGGCACCACCTAGAGAGGTGTGGCACCAAAGCCTTTCACCTTTCTTTGGTACCTCCTGCTGAGTGCTGCAGGACTTCTCCGTGATCCACCTGGGCTGCAGCTCAGCCCTCCAGCCAAACCACTGTTACTTCCACCCATCCCAGGTTACGGGTTGCACGCAGAAGGTGCCATCTGTGTTACGGGTCTCAGCGCAGAGGCCCTGAGCTTGCAGCAGGCACTGCAGAACAGCATGATGCAGAGGGTTGTGCTGAGCAGCCCCAGTGCTGTGTGCCTGCTGGGCCCTGTTGCTTGGCAGGGCAAGTGGAGTGAGTGCTGCAGGTATTTGGTTTGGCACGATGTCAGTCTCTGCTCTGGGCATCTCTGCTCAACACTCTGGTTGTTCCCAAGGCCATGAGGCTCTCGTTCCTTCTTAAAATATTTTACTAGCAGTGCCATAACAGATGAGTCCAAGCAAACTGCCTTCTTGCCCACCTGCCAGAGGTTCTTATGTGCCCCCCACTCCTATTTCTATAAATCACAGTCCATCACACTGCTGCCTTCTTCCCATCCTAGTTGGAGGCCAAGAATAAAGAGAGTCCTGCCTCTCAGCTGAGGTTTCCCAACTTCTCTTACTCATGGGACCCAATAACAAAGCCTACTTCCTGCCACCTGGGAAATGTATTGAACCAAGGGAGCAGCCAAACTCAGCATCTAGCCCTAAGCAGATGCATAGGATTTTAGCATAAACAGCTGACATTTTAGTCATGGGATGTGTGAATGTTTAAAGTCTTAATTGTTCACCAAAATGGAGGGCTTCAGTTGCTTGTAATTAAATGCAGAAGCACTCTGCCTATAGTTCTCTGATGAAAACATAGAAAAAAGCATGCTAAAATTCAGAGATGGGGGAGCAACTGCAGAAACTGAGTTTGGTCTGAGTAAAGGTTGAAATATTTGGCTCCTGGAACATCCTTCTTAATGAAGCCCAGAACAGGGATTTAGTTTAGTTTAATTTTTTAAGCAAGACTCAGCAGAGGAGCAAAAGAAATGAGGAAAGGAAAAAAGAAGTAATTTCACTTGGCATTCATGTTTCACTGTTCTCAGAGTTAACTGTATTTTTCTTCATTACAGACTTTGCTGCCATCCCAGTACTGGTACTACATGGCTGAGATTGGTTTTTACTGGTCTCTCTTATTTACACTTGGGATCGACAACAAAAGGAAGGCAAGTGGTCATGCCTGTTTGTAGCTAGTACCTCTGTTTCTGTGAGGGAGGGAAAAAGTGTTTATAAGGAAAAGTGCTGTCCTGAGGCTGGATTTGGTGCAGCCACATGAGGGCAGCATCAGTCTATCCCTGGCACATCTGCACACCTGTGCTCTCCTGGCTGCCAGGGCATCTCTGGGTGTGTGATGAGTCTTGCTTGTCGCTTCATCCGCACCGAGACCCTCAAGGGCTCTACTTCCTTGGCTCTACCTTTTTTCTTCTCTCCTTCACAGGATTTTCTGGCTCACGTCGTTCATCACTTGGCAGCCATTGGGTTGATGAGTGGCTCTTGGTGTGGCAATTACGTGCGTCTTGGAACATTGGTGATGTTTGTGCACGATACTGCAGATTTCTGGCTTGAGGTAACCCTGCCCTCAGTCTTTGTTTGTTTGTTTTAGGTTTTTCAGTTGGTGGGGATTTCTGGGGAGTTGTTTTTGTTGTTGCCCAGTTTATGTTCAGTGCTGGTTTAATCTTTTTGCCACAAGATTCTTACAATCTCATGCTATCCCCACAGGGACAGGGCTTCACAGATTCATAAATTGTAAGATAAAAAAGAGTTTCTAGATAATTTAATGACCGATACTCAGTTACAGAATTCATTATGAGAAAAGAGTGGAAGAGACATTTTCAGTGCAGAATGGGGACTGGAAATACAGCGGCCTCCCTGGATTATTCTTATTTCACTGTTAAAATTAGACCAAGTTGGCTAGCCTGTGAACAGCTTGTCCTGATACCAATTCTCAGGCAAATTCAGCAGCCAAAATTTTGGCTTCTTCTCCAAACTGGCTTAATTTTGTCAGCATTCACGCCCCTGTGTTGACTCAAGGGCTACATCCACATTATACACTTCTAGCTGGAGACACTCAAGCTGTCCCTGAACAAGATATCACAGGTATCTACTGGTGGAAGAAGAGTTTCTTCCCCTGGACTGAAGGGGAAGTCCCTTCCCTGAACTAAGTATCACTGTTTAGAAATGTTTGTGTCCCGCTCTGCACACAGCACTGTGGGTACAAAGACTTGCTGCTGGATTTCTTGGAAAACAAACGCATGCTGTGTTTCCTTCAATAAAGTTATCCAGAGTTTGTAACACCAAGATTGAGAGCACAGTTTCATCACCTCCTTTGGTGGCACTGCCAGTGTAAGCAGCTCTTGAAAGCTGTTGTCTGTCACTGTTCAATTTTGCTCCTGATAGACTATCCGTTGTGTTGGAACAACTTATTGTGGGGTCATGCAGTTGGGATTGGTCCAGATTAAACACATACTTCCAAATTTTTGCTGGGTTACTTTTAATCCTGAACTGCTTTGTGGTCCAGTTAACTGTGTGGCCTCACAAACAGTTGAGCTGACAACTGGTAGGACCTACCAGCTGACAACTGGTAGGACAGCATTCAGATGGAAATCGAGGTTGGGTTCCAGAATAACTTAATTCAGCCCTGCCACTCAAAAGCTCATCAGACTGCTGCTTAAAACTTAGGCTTGGCACTTGAAGCTTTGCCCACGCTCCAGAACAGCTGTTTTATTCAGCAGTGCCCAGGGTGGTTCCGAAGTGAAGCACGGAGAGCTGTACAGTTCATCTAGGGGAGAAGCAGCAACTATCATCTTTATTAGCGGGGTAAAGATCAACGCTGGGATCTCCAGCTCTCAGAAAGGAGAAAACAGAAGCTGACTTAGGCACAGAGAAGGGTCAGGAACATGCATGCACCAGAACACCCGTGTATGAGGGGTCACCGCCCTCCTGAGCATGCAGGTGTGGCCAGCTGCTGCTCTGATCCAGCCCATTTTGAATCTGGTACAAGAATGAGGAATTATCTCCATTTTCGAGAGCACTTTGGGTTTTCCTGACATTTTTATGTTCTGATCGGAGAGCTGTTCTTCAGGCCTTTGACACAGAGTCCTTTCCTTTAAGATGAAAGGAGAAATATAATCAAAGAATCTATTTTGATACTGCCTTATTAGGTATCAGTAAAATGATTGCTTTACATGTCAAACAGGGAGGAAACTTTCTTCCCGCTTAGGTGGAAGATGAGTCCTTGTTTATGAATATGCAGAAAGGAAGATATTTCGGACAATATTTGAAATATGTTTAATGTTTTTTATTTAATGTAGGCAGCCAAAATGTTTAATTACGCTCACTGGGAGAAAACCTGCAATATACTCTTTATCATCTTTTCTATCGTGTTCTTCATCACGAGAATCATCCTGTTCCCTTTCTGGTAAGCAATATTTATTGTAGTCACAGGCATTTATTTCATTCTCATTTCCATTGAGAGGTTGATATTCCGTGTGATGGGAAAAGGAAAGGAAGGGGTTGTACTTTAAAGAGCAGAAGCAGAACTTTCATTATTATTGGCTACTAAAGTGGACAAAAACTGTCATTTTCTTAAAAAATTTAAGTAAAAATAGTTTTTAAATTACCCTCTTGAAAATATGCTGACCTCAGTAAAGGCTTTTATGTATTATTTAACTTGTTTTCATGAATTATAGTTAAATGCTAAAAGCTCCTGCGTTTTCAAGGGGATTGAGCTACTTATCTAGCAGAAATCATTTTCCTTTTCGTTGCATCCCTCCTGCTGTAGCTGCAAAGTCGGAGTACAGTGTGATTCCTATATGATGGTACTTAACTTTTTGTAGAGCCTTCTTTTTGCTCCTGAGTTCTTGGCTCACCTCACTCACTCACCTGAGGAGCAGTCAGAAAAGTTAAGGTGAATCAATTAATTTCTGAAGTCAACACAGATAAATCCTAACTTGCTGAATACTTGTGTGACTTTGGATGCTATGATTTAATCTGCTTTGGAGTATCCACATGGGTGCTTAGTTTACTTAATGCTTGACATGTTTAGTTTTTAAAAAGTGTTTAATGTGCTTCACATTCACAGTTTCATTGACCTGCTCTAATTTGCCTTCATGCCCCTCCTTGCATGTGTACAAACGCTTAGAGAGTCAAGCTGGTTAAATTAATAGTTCTGAACATTGATCAACACAAGGTTTTAATTTCCTGTAGTATTTTCTTACAGAAATGCTGATGTCTTTTACTTTATTGCTATTTTTTTATTAACTATACGAGTGATCTCCAATCATTTTGCTTCACTGAGTTTCTTGTTCTTGAGTTCTTGAGCTTGGGAGCAAAACATGAGATTAAAGGGACTCAAAGCCCTAAATGATATAGAGGTAGTGAAGTCTGAAGATGGACAAAACATATGTTAATTAACAAAAAGCTCTGTTGCAAAGCCTGTAGGATTTTCTCTGAAGTGTGGATTTCAGATTAGAAAGAATTTGCATTTAAAAACCAGCATAGACAAGCTCTGAGTTGCATAGTATCTAGACCACACAGAGCTCAAGGTTTTAAAAAATGGGATTTTTTTTCTAACATTATTTAGAACACTTTCATGCAAGACTCAAATGTCTTACCTTCTGAAGACAATACTTCAATAGAGATGCATAATGTAGTTAAGACAGGGCTTGTTAATTAATCTGTCATCTTTGCAGAGCTTTTTGATGTTCTGCGGAAATAATTAATCAGCTTGGAATGAGAAACTGGAAATAGTTGTAAATAGCATAGAGAAGAAATCTTGCATCGTAACAGTGACATTTATTTTTTTTTTTAGGATTCTTCGTGCCACGTTGTATCAGCCTACATACTACTCCACAACTCCTGTCATAGCATATTTTTTATTCAATGGGCAACTATTGATCCTTCAAGGCTTGCATTTATATTGGGGTTACTTAATTTTCAAGATTTTGAAAAGATTCATTTTCTTAAAGGTAAGCAATTTTGCTTCTGCAGAAAGACATGTGAAGCATCAAACAGATGCTAATACCTCCAGTAGATTTACTCGGAATTTCTTATTGTTTTCCTGAAACGTGTCAGTGTTTTTGATAGGGATCTACAAAATATAGAGATGTTCAAATGTGCTTTCTGCCTCTCATTGTCATACCTAAGGTCATAGATCAGAATATCAAAACTTCAGCTAGAACCGTTTTTTGCTTGTATCTGATGTTTGCTCTGATAGTAAATGAGAAACTGAAGCCCTGAGATGGTGCAGAACTCTTTAGAAATTCCTGTGTTCTGGGTGAAAGCAATCTTTTCTCACTGGACTTTGTAGGAACATACCAAAAAAGGAGAGGAGAGGTGAGTGATGAGATCTTGAATACTGCAGAAAACCTGTGGTCATAGTCCTTCAGGTTTGTCTGAATCTGAGGTCAGCTATACTTGAACGCTGGTTTTGGATTAACAAAAATATGAGGCTGATCTGGGATTATATTATGACACAGTGAACTACTGTCGTATTCAACTGGAGCAGAGAAACAGTGTCAGTCTGGTGCTGCCATAATCTGCTTTTACCTTGTAGAGAAAGCTCATCTGGGAAAAAGCAATAAAGAAAAATTTGCTGCCATTTAGGTCTTGTTTGACTGCCTGAAGTAGTAACGTTTTCACAAGGTCTCTTCTCATGAAGTGTGCAGGTAGACAAACATTTAGCAAAAAGCATTTAGAAGAGGACTTTGGAGAACGTCTCTTAAGATTTGGCATAAGCATTGACAGGCATGTTTTGCACATTAAGGTGAAACTGAAGTTGTGCTATTGAAAAATTGTATTGTTTTTGAGGATCAAGATACAACAACTTTATTTGAGTTGACTCTGCCCTTTTATGTGAAGCAGTTAATGGTGTGAAGCATCTTAAGGAAATGGAAATATTCTTTTCTAACGGTATTTAATTGTTATTTGACTGATAACAGAAACCATCCTGTAATTATTGGATTATTGAATTCCTTCAAATCTTAAGCAAATAGCTGGATACTATAGGGAGACCCAGTGTCTTCCCTAGAAGAAAACTGCAGTTACAAACTCCACCCTTGTTAGTCAGCAAACAGCTGCACATAAGGACAAATCTGTAGAAGAAATGGTTTGCGTTGTTCTGCTTCTAAAACATTTTCCTATGTTCCCTTAGACACTGAAAAGTCTGTTTCTTGCATGCCACTTACCTCTGTTAGATTAATTACAAAATTATTTCTGGCCTGGCTTACTGAGTGTTAATGTTTTACTTCTCATTTCTTTTTTGATTTTGGCCTTGTATCTGTGCTGTTCTGGCACAACTCTTCTAATGAAATCGAGGAGGACATCCCTCTGCCTTGCAGCTGAGGAAGAGAAAGGCTTTGGCATAGTTCTCCATCCACATAGGTTTGAGTTATGAGAGTACAATGCAAGAAGGTCTTCAGACACGAGGGTCAGGAGGACGTTTCTAGGCCAGCTATATAAGGCCATTCTGCCCCGCATGCTTGTATGCCTTTGTTGGGGCAGAAATGTTTTATTTTGAGATAAGAGCTTTTTTCTATTAGTCATTGCTAAAATATGGGAAAACATCAAGCCTGCATCCCTACCATGGATTTTTGATTCCTTATACAGCTATCCGAGAAGCCGGTTTCCAAATAACATTTTTACAGTGGTAGCAGCAGCAGCCCGAGCCCTTTTCGGTGCGTATGACTTCAGCTGGCTTGCATGTGCAGCCTGTTTTCCATAGCGGTGGCAAACTTGGCTGTGAAAGCAGCCAGTGCCTCCAAAGCTGTAAAGGCAACGTTGAAAAGAATGGTGTTTGTGAGACAACATTTTATACCGACGTGTTTGTTACAGACACACTCCACACTAATAGCTGGGGCTATTTTAGCGAAATACCAGTAAACCATTGTCCTTGTATGAGGAGGGTTTTGTTTCTCTGCCCAAGACTTTCAAGTTTTCATTCAGAAAACAGACAATTTTGGACATTTTTCTTGAAGCAAGTTAGCTACTTCAGATGGAAAAATGAAGTCATGATGTAACTGGGAATGGGGACTGATGTCGTTTAACTAAAGGAAGCCCTGAACACAGCAAGGGTGTAAGGAGTTTTTTCGGTGCCCTCTGTGCCTTGAGCCACCCTGTGTTGGTGGGGTCACTAGTGAAAACCACTGTAGTGCAGCCGTTACCAGCTCCTAGCATCCTTCCAGGGGCAGGTGTCTGCCCTGGTTGTATCCTTCTGGACTGTGTCATCGCACTGTCTGAAAGTTAATGAGCTTGAATGTGCTTATTCTTAGTGGGAAGGGCTGTTGTCCCTTGTTGAAGGACAGGTTAAAGGATTTGTCTAGGTCAGACATGAAATGTGGGACTCGGTGGGGAAAGTGAACAGGAGAGGCCAAGTCACGTACCCACCAAGTCCACTTTGCCGTTATTCAGAGGGTCACATGATGATGTCACAGCTTGCTTAGAGCTGTGGGTCTAGATTCAATACTCTTATCTTCAGATTGTGGCAGGAGGCTTGGTTAAAGGCAGGGATGAGTACAGAAATGACATCAAGTACCGCAGCCTCGTTAGGTGGTAGCTTCTTCCATGCTTTACTCTTCCCCCTCAGGAAGAGATGGTTTTTTTCTGAGACTGGCTGGTCAGGAGCTCTCCGTCTCAGATGTCACCTCTACTCTACACTAATAAAGGGGACAATTAGCCTCAGTTCTCTGGGGTAACTGCTCAGCTGACTGACTTGCTTCAGCAAAACAGAACTTGGACCAAAAATCTTTTGGTTTCCCTCCTCTCAAATGTTGCAGCCAGAGGTTAATAAAAATGAGGAAAAATGAAAGAAGGGAGGAGATGATCTTGCTTTTGTCCCTCTGTGTTCTGTTTTCTCAGGCATGGGAGTCTGGCAGTGGAGCTGGTAGCACAGAGCAGCACTGGTCTCCAGGCTCACGGGACTGGTGCCACCTTTCCCCTGGCCCAGTCCTCTAGAAATGCCCTGACAAGGGGGAAATCTGCATCGACAAGCGAAGCTGTGCTCAGCTACTTCGCATCAAGAAGCTTCTTATTTTCTATGAGAGTAAACTTGAGGGGACAGGAGTATAACATTTCTCAAAATAAAGATTGTTCTTCTGGAAAATACACCAAAAAACCTCAAATATCGTTCCTCATAGGACGTTTTGTGACCCTGGATGTGAGTTAGGTGCACGCATGTAAGAAAAGCCCTTCAAGGTCAGACCTGTAGCCATGTATTTTATATCAGTTCTGCCACGAGAGGAAAAAGGACATTTTTTTCAGTGTAATTTCTTTTCAAGTTAGGTCAGGCAATTCCAATGTTAGCTGCTGGCTGCCATCTTGATGTCCAAGGCCTTTTGTTGCTAGGAAACTCCGTGTGTTTCTGTAATATTGTTCAATTACATGGTTAAATTACCCACTTGTATCAAGTTTCAAGCATCACTGAAACATGTCTAGTCATCATGTCTGCACATATGAGAATATTTTAGGAAAATTGAAAAAACATATAGAGAAATATGTACATGTGCACTGATTTAAAATATCTCGCCAGGAAAATCCCATGGAGATTAAACATTTTATTTCCAAGGTCAGAAAAAGGGAGCGAATGATGGCAGCTTATAGCCACATTATTATAGCAAATTAAGATGTAAAATATATGTTAAAACCATTACACACTGAGTTCAGGTTTTGAGACTACAGTGCTTTGAATCTTGAAAAATATGTGTAAGTTGTAGGAAATGGGCATGATGTCCACATGACTCGGATACTTCGAGGCTGATGCGAAGTCCATCAACAGCAGAAGGTAATGGCAGGTTTATAATGGACTGTAACGTGACCAGGAGTATGTTTTCTTGCTCTTTTAGTTGTTTTGCTACTGTCAGACTGCCTTGAAGTAAGGCAGTGAGCTTCTTACTAACGGTCACTATTATTTAGGTGTCATCAGCTGCAGTTTTGTTTGATTCACTTTTTGGTTCTTTCCTCTTCCTGAAACAGGAAAGACCTTGCACCGCTGTAGAGCAGACTTTTGGACTTGTCACTCTTAAAAAAAAAATAGCTGGTGCCACCTATGTACCTGCAATATTCCTTTAGTATTTTGTACTCAGTAAAGAGGCTTTTGAAAGATTTTGGTGGGGCATATCCTTGTCCATGGTTTGATTATTCCTTATTTAGCTGTCGTGGTTTAACCCCAGCCAGCAACTAAGCACCACTCAGTCGCTCACTCGCTCCTGCCGCGGTGGGACAGGGGAGAGAATTGGAAGGGTAAAAGTGAGAAAACTCGTGAGTTGGGATAAAGACAGTTTAATAGGTGATGGAAAAGCCGCGCATGCGGGCACAGCAGAACAAGGGATTCATTCCCCGCATCCCATGGGCAGGCAGGTGTTCAGCCATCTCCAGGAACGCAGGACTCCATCACGCGTAACGGTTACTTGGAAAGACAAATGCCATTGCTCTGAGTGTCCCACACTATATCCAAAACACAGCACTATTCTGGCTACTAAAACCAAAACTAAGTCTGTCTCAGCCGAAACCAGGACATTAATCCAAATTCCTGAGGGAACAGTGAGAGTTAGTGTTCAAAGAATGACTCATGACAGAGTAAGGGTAAAACGATAAGAAAATACTATTTTGGGATTGAAATGAGAGCCATGAAATGCTTGTTATGATACTTCTGCTGTTTCCAGCAATCATTCTTCTACTTGATCACTTCGTTGTGTCTGAGGATTGCTCTCATACTGGGAAATCTCTGCCAGTTCGAGTTAACTTTCTTTCCTCCGTTCTTTCTTATGTACAGATACTGGGATGCCAGTAGAGTCCCTGCTGTGAAAGTGGTTAGCCATATAATAACTCCTTGAATCAGTTACTCCCTCTTCTATATCAAAAGAAGATATCCTACTAAAACCATATCCCTAAAAGTGCACCCATGGACTGAAATACTTCATGTGTTTCAATATTAATGTGTAGACAAGGCCTGGAAGTCCTTTGGAACATAGAC